GTGTGAGACGCCTGAGTTCTCTGTCCATGTGCATGTGTATGCGTGTATTTATTGTGCGTGGCAGTGTACACATTTGTGTATGGGGGGGTCTGTCCACATGTGTGGGTGTCTGCACGTGTACACGTCCTGAACCTGTGTACACACACATGCCAGCAGGTATGCACATTCTAGTGCAAGTGGGCAGGTGTGCATTCACCTGTGGATGTGGATGTGTTCGAGTGTGGGTGTGCATGTGCACGTGCCTGCATGGGCATGCACATGCATTCACACGTGGTGCATGCATATGTGCATGCCTGTGCATGTGCACATAGGCATGTGCATGCGCGCACACATTCACACATGGGGTGCCAGCATGCATGTGTGCATATGCATCCAGGTGTGAGCTGCACATACAGACATGTGCATGTGTCCATGTGCATATGTGTGCATATATGCACGTGTGTGGGAGTGCACATTCACGTGGGTGTGCATGTTTGCATGTATACAGGTGTGTGTGTGTGCATACATGTGTGAGCATGCATATGTGTGTGCATGTGCATCCACATGCAGAGCTGTACATGCACGTGTGCACAGATGCATATTTGCCCCGAAGCGAACGTTTACATGTGGGTGTACAGGTGCATGTGGGTGCACACCCAGATGTGGCTTCACACACATGTGCCTGAGTGTATGTGTGCTTGTGTGTGCAGGCACACACGAGCATGCAGGTACGGCAGCAAGGCCTCCTGGGAAGGCTGCTCAATAATTCAGTGGGATACCTGATCATACTTGGGCCTCGTGCTGGGGGGCTGTGGCATCTCAAGGGCATGGGCCCAGAACCTGTGCAGCTACGCCAGGAAGCGTGTTCCCCGCGCCTGCCCCAGCCCAAACCGGCCCGACTGGCTCCGTCACAGCTCCCAGCCAGGCCCCCCCACCCTGTGCCAGCGAGGGGGGACGGTCACGGGGACGAGGGGGGGGGCAGGATGCCAGCGCCGTGACGTGTTGCAGGGATCACGGAGCCCAGGCACCGGTGTCCAGCCCAGGCACCTGCACCCACTCCCAGGGAGGTGTTGGTGAGTGGGGGACACGGGGCTGGGGGGAGGGGCAGGCCTGGATCTTCTCTGCCTCTTGGCTGTAGGTTCAAAGCCAGGGGCTCCTTTGAGATGAGGCAGCTGTGTGGTGGCTCAGAGACGTAGCCAGCTCTGGTTGGGGAGTAGGGTGGACACACAACACTGAACCCAGCTAGAGAGGGATCCCAGTGTGAAAATGCAGCTGGCTCTGGAGTGGGACACAGCAGCTGTATGACAGTCTCCAGCCACGCTCAGCTGGGATCCATCCCTTCCTGCTCCAATGCAGCCAGCTCTGGGGACGAGTGTGGTGGGTACATAACACCACCCAACTCAGCAGGGGAGGGTTTGCAAAACAAATGCAGCCAGCTCTGGGGTGGGAAGCATTTGAGGATCATGGTGGGGATAGAAAAAGGAGTGGGGTCAGGCCAGGCTGGGCCCTGGGCTGGAGCATGCCCCCACCCACCCCCTGCTTAGATACACAGGGACTTTGCTCCCTGCCAGGCGCAGCTGTGCTGGGGGAGGCGGGGGTACTGAGGAGAAGGAGACAGCGGGGGCGGTGGGGGGGGAGGCTGGGAGCTTACCCAACTCTGTGGTTTCTGGGCCAGAAGGATCTGCCTGTTCCCTCTCATGCTGAGATGCAGCTGCTTCTGGGGTGGAACAAGGCAGCTACATCGCACGGTAGTGGAGGGTGGATGCAGCACCCCTTTGGATCCCCTCAGGCCCCAGCCAGAGTCTGACCTGCCCCCACCCTCCCAGGACAGAAGGGTTAACATGTGCATGTACATGTGTGTGCATGGGGACAGCCTGCCTCTGGCTCCATGTGTGTATGTGTCACAGGGCACCCCCTCCCCGTCTCTACTGCCCATGTCTGTGTGTTAGCGTGCCTGTGCCATGTATGTAGCCATCTCCTTTCATGTCCCTGTTGGGGATGGAGGGGGGCCACAGCTTGTGCTTGTCCCAGGTTTTGTCAGGTGTGGGGGTGGTCCCTATCTGTCTCAGCATGTCTGTGTCGCCATGTGTGGGGGTCACTCAGGGGTTGTGTGTGTGTGCATGTGTGTGTGTATCCGTGTCGCTCGGACCATGTGCGTGCATGTGTGTGTCACTCAGGCTGTGTGCATGTATGTGTGTGCATGTGTATTGCTCAGGGGTTGTGTGTGTGAATGTGTGTTGCTTAGGGGTCGTGTGTGTGTGTGTGTAGGTGCATGTGCATGTGTGTTGCTCAGGAACCAGAGTGTGTGCTTTTGTGTCGCTCAGGGGCCATGTGCATGTATGTGTGCATGTGTGTTGCTTAGGGGCCATATGTGTCTATGTGCATGCACATGTGTGTGTTTCACTCAGGGGCTGTGTGCATTTGTGTGTGTAAATGTGTGTGCATGTGTGCGTGCATGCATATCCCTCGGGGATCTGTGTTGCAGCACATGTCTCCCTTGTCACAGTGTGTGTGTCTCCTGATACTGCTGTGTGTCGGTGCCAGCCTCCCCCCACACCTGTCATGGTGTGTTTGCATCAAGCCTGTGTCTCTCCATCACTGGGGGGGATGGTGTGTGTGTGTGGGGGGGGATAAGCATCCCACTGCATCCCAGTGCCTTGGTTCTGGCCCCTGGTCAAGCACCCCCAAGACCTGCTGTCCCCAGCCCCTGATACAGATAAACGGGAGGGGAGGGGGGACGCTGAAACTGGGGTTCCCTTCTTGCTATCAGCTACTTGATCTCAGGTTCCCCACCCCCCCCGGGCTGGCACCCCTTCTCCCTGTCTCTACTCTCCATACTCTTCCCCCCCCCTTCCCCATGAGGGGGATCTCACCTCCAGGCCCAGTCAGGCTGCCCTAGCTTGATCAGTGCTGGGGACCCCAGGGCCCAGCTAACTGCCCCCACTCTGGGGCTCTGCACCTGCTCCAGCTCCATCAGCACCCCCTACTGGGCTCCTGACATACAGGCTCTGATTTGGGGGTAACCCTAAGCAGGTCCTGGTGGGGGGGTGGGAGGTGGAGCCTGGAGGTTGGCCTGGTGTGGGGGAAGACGGGAGCCAGGAAGGGCGAGGGAAGGAGGGGTGGAAGGAGGCGGGAGGAAGAGGGGAAGTGCTTACCGACCTCTGGACCCCTCCATAGCCACCGCTGCAGGGACCATGACTGACAGCACCCACTACTCCCAGCGCCTGCAGGCCATCGTGGTGAGTGCTGCCCACCCCCAATACCCCCAAACATGGGGCTCAGAGGTCCCCTTCACCTGGCCAACAGATACCCTGTAAGCCCCACACTGCTGGGGAGACACCCCTGGAGAAGTGGGGAGGTCTGGCCTGGTTAGGATAAGCAGTGCCTAAATCCCTTGGGCTGGGGGACCCAGGACCCCAAACCTCTTGGGCTTGGAGGATTCAGGACCCTCCCTTTTGCACCCCCTAGGGGCTGGAGAGGTTAGGAGTTTTCCCTCTCACCCCCAGACACCCCACGGAAGCTGAGAACGGCCCAGCTCATGATAGCTCAAGACAGAGCCAGACCCCCATGCCCTGCTCATTTTCACCCTCCCCTTGCTGTGGCTTGCTCCTTCCTGGGGCCAGGAGTGGCTGTGAGTTCCCCCCCCACCCCCAAACAGCTAATGGAGACTGAGAACGGGTCAGCTCATCACAGCTCACAGCAGGGCCAGACCCCCCTTCATCTTTTCCACCCATCTTTTCCACCCCCAAAACTCCCCCTTCCCAGAGGGCTGAAGGCGCTGGGAGCTTCCCCCCCACCCCCTAGATACCCCATGTAGGCTGAGACTTGCCCAGCTCATTGTAGCTCACAGCAGCCCCCACCGCCCCACCGCAGGGTCCCCAGTGGCTTTGTGGAGCCAGGGAGCTGCCAGGAAGCTGGGGTAACCTGAGCCCCTGGTGTCCCCCTGCTCCAGCATCGACCCAATGAATTATTTACCAGGCCCCGGCTCTGGCCTGTTTCAGGCTCAGGGCCCTGGAGACCTGCCCGGGTGCTGGAGGAGGAGGAGGAAGGGGGGGGGGTAGAGCCTGGCTGGGGGCAGGGAAGGGACCCTGGAGACAGGTGTGTGTGTGGGAGTAGCAGGGGGGAAGTTGGGGGGTGGTGCATGCAGGAGCTGTGTGTGTGTGCGGTG